GCTGAAATAAATGTATTTTTGTAGGATGCTACAGAGGGGAAAAGAGAGCCATGAAGTTTGCTATCCCAAGAATTTAGCGGGAACCCATTGACCATTCAAGCAACTGCTACTTCTGCATGGTGGGCCCTTCCAAACATCATACTGGCAAGAATGCACCTGCTATCACATATCTGGACCTTCCTTCATCCATCGCCCCGGTGCCACACTGCCATGAGCTCCCTATACCCACTTCTCCAGAGAAATAGCAACCGTCTTTAGAAGAGAGCAGCAAGTCAGAGAGTGAGGAAGACGTAGATCCAGCTGACAATTTCAGAGGTGGAGCTGAGGAGAGAAACCCATACTACCCCAACCAAAAAGACCTCAACGACTTGATCAGAGATCTTGATCTCACCAAGTTCAATGCCGAGCTTTTGACGTCTCGGCTCAACCAGTGGAACTTGTTGGATGAAAGTGTGCAAGTTGCAAATTAGAGGAAGCGTCGGAAGGTGCTGATGCTACCACTGCACATCAAATTGGGCCTGATGAAACAATTTGTCAGAGCTGTAGAAAAGTAGTCGGCAGCCTTCATGTACCTTCAAGACTTCTTCCCTAAGGTGTCTGAGGCAAAGGTCAAAGCTGGTGTCTTCGTTGGACCACATATAAAGAAGATCCTGGAGTGCAATGAATTCTCCAAGAAGCTCACTAGTGTAGTGACGTAAATGGAGTCACTATGGTATTTAGCGCCAGCTATCGTCACAAGAGTGGAGCTGTGTGTCTTGGGCCTCTCTCTGGCACCAGAGTGGGTATGCCATGGAAGCGGGCCCTCGGGGGCATAGTCCTGGTGACTAGGAGAGGGCACGTGACTGGACGAGGTGGCAAGGGGGGCCCAAAAGGAGGGGAGAGGGACATGTGATGCAGGGGCCAGAGTCTTCGGGAAGGATCTGAAAAAGGGCGTGGCCAAGGGCGGAGCCTGGCCACTACGCATCCCATAAAGGTCGAGTCCATTTTTGTGTTACTATAATATAAATAGATGTTAATTTTGATTCATGTTGTTTTTTTCTGACTTCATGTGAACGAAAAGACACAAATTCGCCCGTTTTATCATTGAAAATAGGTACATTTCAAAATATAAATATCCAGGTCACCAAAGCAAAGTTTGTGGGGAATAATAGCAATTTTCTATACTTTTTACGAATAAGCAATTAGGAAATAATACTTACTACCCAGGAACAAAAATTGTGTTACGTCAGGTAGCATGCATTGTTTTTGAAACTGATTGGCCGACACCAAAGACAGCCTTATTTATGGCCTTGTCTCACCACTAGTCTTAGACAAGAGATTGCCAAAAGGCGAACAGTACAAAGGCATCGCAAGTATCAGATCACTTATAGCTTGGATTGAGTACTTATATCCATGGGATACCTTTTTGCCAGTATCCAAGATGATGAAAAAATATGAATAGGTTTTACCCTTTCTAGAAATAAAACAGGAGGTATTACGATGTTCTAACACCAAATAGACAATGATTATCTCAAGGTATCAAGTCTGCATTAACCTACACACACTTGTGATAAAACATTCAAACAAATATGCTTTGATAATGTACGCATTGTCTCTGATTCCTTGCAACAAGTGTGTCTATTTGGTTTTTGAACATCTTAACACCTCCTGTATTATTGCCGAGAAATGATAAAGCCTATTGTTTAGTACGATTATTTTTATCATTGTGATACCGGTAACAAAGGTTTACATAGGTTAAACTGCTCAATCTGAGCTATCAATGCTTTAATATTGGCATTGCCTTTGTGTTGTTTGCCTTTTGGCATTGGTCTAACACCGGTGGTGAGACAAGGCCATAGAGGAGGCTGCATCTCTGGTGTAGGACAATCAGTTCCAAGGGTAAAGCATACATTAGTGTTATCAGAGCAAGTTTTTTTGGCATGTTTTACCACAATCATGAAATGTGGTGAATGCAAATTTGATGATTCCTTGCAATAGGTCTGTTTATTTGCTGTTTGAACATCTTAACACCTCCGTGGCGAGTTACTCTGGTATACAGGAGGTTGTGGGTTCGATTCTGACCCTAATGCATATATGTTAAGAGTTTGTATGTCCCTCTCTCCCCATGGTTGGTGGATTTTCCTCCGGGTCCTCCGAGTTTTGCTCCACATTTAGAATAAAAATTGCGCATTTAGAGTATTTGGATACTGCTATAAATGTCCACATAATTAGCCACTTTTCATTGGGCTATCATTTTTGATAGCCAAGTTGCTTCTGAAAAATAGCTCTTTATAGCTCAGTGGGCCTTACCTGGTAAAATAAAAATAGTTTAATAATAGTATTATTCCCGGATAGCGTACCACCTATTTCTTTTCAAAATTACCAGCGAAACGTTGGACTGAATGGTGAGATGTTGTGGATTGCTCTCCTAGCAGTAATACATTACCAAGTATTATTTTCATCACGTGACAATTTTATAATTGGCTGTGTAGGGTGGATAAGGGTTAATGACAATGTATTTTACCTACGCTGTCTCACCCAAACACCAATGATACATCGTCACATTGGTCGTGAAAGCTTTTTGACACGTTCACTTTAATTTAGGTTTAAATTCAGTCCAAGTTAAATAACCAGCTTTTACTGATTTCCAGTGCTGGTTTTCGGGTTATTTTCGACTCCTGGTTAAGTTGCAGTAACAATCTTCTTTTTGGAGTTAACGTTTTGGCCGTTCACTCGAGCCAAGCTAACAACAACATTGTGTACGCAGCGCAACTAACTTCTCATGATGATGTCAGCTCTGCTGAGGCCGTGCAGAGAGGCTGTGGGTTGTGCAGATGCTCCAGCTGCTTGAACTTCATGTGGAGCTGCCATCTCCCGCAAACTAACTGGAGGTGACCTCCGCTGCACTTGAGCTGTATTCCCCTCAGGAGTCTTGGGTTTGGGCTGGTCTGCTGATGTAGGGTCCTCGCCTCTGAAGGTTCTGAATGCGCTCAGGAGCTCGTCTATCTGCTCCTGCAGTGGAGTTGGCATCTCGAAGTCGAGCGAAGCGCTAGACGGTGTCTCCTCCATTGGCTCACTTGCCAGGTTCACGAAGCTGCGGTGAGATGATGAGCACCAAGTGCGGTGGTGATGGTGAAGCAAAGAGGATGAGAACGAGAAAATTGAAAATCATGCGTAGGTCAATAATGAGTATCCATTGCATGGGTGAGAGATCGGAACGTGACTGAGGAGGTGAACTGACATACCTTTCCCATTGGAGAGTGTAGCCCTGTCACACAGACACACAAAACGTAAAATAAAGAGTTAATGCACAACACAAATCGTCAATGCAAGGGGTGTCGATACATGCCCCTTAAAGTCTCATTCGGTGCATGTGTGAGAGTGGTGTACAGTAATAGCTGCTGACGAAAAGTCCGAAAGTGGTACCTGCAGTGTACAGCAGTACACATGTCAGCAGGCGACAGTTTATACGGGACATCTTAGGGAGAGTTCATGAAGGGGTTCACCTGGAAGCCCAGGAACCTGCTAATAGGTTCCGGAAGGGGGGCGTGGCCAGGGCGGAGCAAGGCCATGCTGGGAGCATAAGAGGGAGCCCAGAGTGAGAGCTCAGAGCTGCTGCTGGAAGTGGATCCCCTCGCCTTGCTGCTGTTTCGCCACCATCGTCGCCGCCATCTTCACCATCACTGGGCGCCGCTAGCTAGACAGCCTGCCAACTGTTCTAGCTAGATAGTGCCGCCGACAATAGATGGTTGCGTGTACAATATATGTCTATATCATGTGCACCCACGTAGGGTGCGTATAGCCCCCATTGTATGCAAGAATAAAATGAAGGTGCCTCCATTTACAACTGTCTCCGAACTGCATCACGACACTGGTAAGAGGTAACTAATATCAAAAGGTGAACACAGTTCCAACATAGAGTATGCATACAACACACTCAGCAGATACAACAGACATGACAAACACGACATGCATACATACACACACCTTCATCTTCTTAGCAAATGTATTAAAAGTCGGAGTTTTAATTTTGAAACAAGATACACAGCAAACATGAGGTCACAGGGCAACACCCAGAGTTTTTGAGATTTGACTGACTGAGATGACTGTCCGTGGTGAATCCTGACCACTGCTAGCAGTCATCAGCGAATCCAATAAGCTCCCATCCCACATCAGCCTCCATGTTGGGGGTGGCGACATCGCCAGCTTTGTTACAGAAGTTCATGGTTTTAAGGCAGTGGTCACCCTGATTATTACCATGGGTTTAACAACTACAACGATATTCTATATCTGCTGCAGTGGGATATTAAATATCTCCGGGGTGGCATACGTAAGAGAACGTGTTCCTGGCGTCGGGGCCCAGATGTACCGCATATAAAAATTAACCCACAAAATCACTCAATTGGGATTAACAGAGCAATCATCTCTATCCTTGCTGGTAGCAGACGAATGTACAGGACAGCTGCCACTGTGGGTGCCCCTCGGCTAGACCATGCATAGCAATAATCACCTCCCCCTTACTGTCAAAACAAATGTCCATTACAAGGCAGATGTTGAGTCGCCTCGTGCCCACAGAAACAGTTGGCACTGGGGGTGCCCCGTTGAAATATTTGAGGTGGACTGTGATGTACAGCGCTCTGAGACACCACTGCACACATCAAACATGCATCGTTATCATTACCTCCTTTATAGACCATGTCATGCCCGTTTACCCCCTTCTATCCAATCCAAACAGAAGCTGCTTGGACATGTGGTGGCTGGGTAACTTATTTTTCTTCTTCAGATGTCCATCTCTGAACAATGATGACTGTCGAGAACACCTAAGCAGTAGGGTTTTCCTGCACGATGGTGGGATGGGAATCCAGTACTAGAGCGGAAGCATCGGCCACACTGTGGCCAAGAGTTGTTCGTCCACTTAATGGAATTTGTGTTGTGCCATTGCTGCTGGTGTTGATGGCGATAGCTCCCCCCCCCCTGTTTTCTTCAAGCCTCTTGTCCGAGTTGGCTTACAGCCTCCTCTTCCACTACTTACCGCTGGCTGACATTTCCTCCCACGTGTCCCAACATTGACATTTGGCCGTCTTGACGTGTCTTTTAAGGACGTCTTTGTAGCACACAGTTTTTTGGCCACCACAGGAACACACTTTAGCCCTGTTCGAGTTTACTATAAGGAAAAAACTTAAGAACCTGATCTGGCATATTCAAGTTCCGTGCTCTGACCATCTCAACCGAGAGCACGTTACTTTTGCCTATCTACACTGGGAATCTCAGCTCTCGCCAGCACCTCGGTGCTCAGAATTCAGGTCTTGCCACTCGTTCCTCGCGATTTGTCTCAAATGTTTCAGCTGTAGGCTCGTCAGTTTGTTCAGGTGTCGTCTGTATAGTGTCAATGTTTCTGCAGAGTAAAGTACATTGAATGAATTACTAACTGCTCTGTTAGATATTCTTGGTTCTTTTGGTAAATTCACGTAGAATGGAAATAATAAAATAATCAAAATAAAACATAATAAAATAAAATTCTCACGACGTTTCGGCCATAACACAAGCAGCCGTCCTCAGGTAAAGAACAGAGCTGTCGGAAAGACAGCGTCCTAATGAACACCGCTAAGCTTGGCAGCGTATGTTTAAGCTGGGTGGGTGGAGCAGAGCGCCTTGACAAAAGAGTTTACATATCAACAGACATTTACTTTGGTGGACAATTTGTTACCATGCTGGGACCAAAATCGCTTATTAAGGCTACTGAATGCCTTAGATACACCTTCAAGGCACCATAAGATCTTAGTGTCTATAGAGTTGTTATTAGACACGGTGTTTCCCAGGTAAGTGAACGAGTTCACACATCTCTGAGAGCTTCACCATTGACAAATATTTCTGAGTGATCATTGGTTATATTTTGTTAATTTTGCTGGTTGTAACAACATATCAGTCTTACTTGTGTTGATCTTTGGCCCAAATTGGTTTGCTGATGCAGCAAAATGGTTGGCGGTTTCTTAAATGTCACTCCGGCTGTGAGCAACTAAGGCCGTGTCATCGGAAAAAAAATAAGTTCTCGGACGCACACTGTTCTCTCAATTTGGTGTTAGCATGTAGCCAAGCCAGATTAAATGGCTTGCCGTCGCTCCAGGTTCGTATATAGATACCGGCGCTAAGATTTACACTCACGGTTGTGAGCACTGCTGCAAGGAAAAGAGTGAAGAGGGTGGGGGCCAGCACAGATTCCCGCTTTACGGCGTAGACCATGGCTTATGAATGGGACCTTAGAGCACCCGCCTCTTCCTTCCGCTAGCTAGCAGGCTGGGTATACAGAATACATGGTCCAGCCAACGCTGCCTTGCCTGCTGGATGAGTTCACTGATGGAACTGTGTCCAGATTACGCAGACAGCACACAGATACAGGCAGAGTATATAGGAAACACAGACGCACACACATATATCTAGCATACACACATACAACAAAAGATATCCCATATTGCCTTTAACAGACTGTTAGGGCAAGTGCTGCTAGTGAGCACCTATGAAGTCCAGCACGGCAAACAAGGGGGGGGGGTGGTGCCCAGCATCACGCCCTTTGTTTCCCGAGTGGTGATGTTTACATATCACACTAGGCCCAGGACCGGTTCATATAATCGTCACTGGTGTTGGTCGTGAGCCGGAATTGAACTCGGCTCGCCGGGTTTGTAGCACAGCGTGCTAACCGCTACGCTACCGCTCCCACTATATACACATACATCATACACACAGACACACAGCTAACGTGGCTGAATGATCCAGACGCAAGTTTGTCCGCAGCTCGCGCGCGTGGCAGCACCTCGAGAAACTCCACGGGGTCCTCGGTCTCCTCCAGGCTGCGGATTCTGCCGAGCGCTTCTGTCAGGCCGCCCAGAGTCGTCCGGCTATTCTCAATCTCCCGGCAGATCCCCAAGAGCTTGAGGTCGCGCTCCTTATCCACGGCCCGCAGCGCCGACTCCTTGTCCTCGGAGATGAGGCGCAGGAGCTCGTCGTAGCTGCCGCTCAGCCTCTCCTTTATCTGCTCTGCTGCTGCCTGCGGTAGTGGTGATAGTAGCAGAGTTTTGAGTATCACGGCGGCTGTAAAATCGTTGATTTCTGAAAACAATGGGGACTACGTGGCTTTAATATAACACGTAGCAGACTTTCACCGGCAATGTTGTTCGTAAGAAAGTTTTGGGGGTTTATTTGTGAGTTGCACGGTGACCTACGCACCTCCACTCTGTCGGTCGAGTCCTGGAGGCTGCTCACGAACGAAGTTGCTGTCTCCTCTCTCTCGCTCAGTCGATCTTTAACTGAGCTCAGCTGCCCCTGCAATGGCACCGGATCAGCTCCCGCTCAAAATTCAACTATACCTTTCTTGATTACTCGATTGTTTAAACATCACTGTCGTTCTCAAGGGCAGAGCAGGCAGAAGATGTTAAGATCTCAACGGCTGTGAAGTCGAACGAAGTGTTGTATATTTGCCCTTTTCCAAAAAAATATATTGAGTGATTCTGCCAATATTTTTTTGTTGTTGTAATAATTTATCGGGGTATAGTGCAGGGGCGCGAAAAGGGGTCCCCCCCCCTTGCCTCCTGCCTCGCCACACAAAAGGCAGCTGGAGGAAATAGACATAAAATGTAATTATGAAAAAACCCGGTGCAAGGGGGGGATAATGAGAGTCTGGGAAAGCCCAACGACTTCAAAGGCCAGAGAGACAACAAGAAAATTTTACACCCCGAACCATGAGGGAAGAGGGGGGGAACGCAGCCGGACAACGGCCAAAAGGACCCCCCCCCCCTTTCAGATTAATAATTGTGGAAGGTCGTAAAACCAGTCGCTCGACTCTGAGGGGCAACTGAACAGCTGTTCCCACAGGCTCAGAGCAAATAAAGGGAATTCCGGTCCCTTGTGAGGAGACGAGCCGAGGTGGGAGATTTTTTTATATAACGACGAGCAGCAATCACGCACATCAGTCTTGCTGCGGCAAGCTCCGGGGGTGGGCCCCGCAATCGACCATGGATGACGAGGCTTGCAGAGTAGCGATGTGTCACCCAGTGTGAGTTCGGCGCTGACAGACGAAGCATCGCTAAAAGTTTTATTCTACATTGAGTTCCAGCTCCCACCAACAGGTGGAGAAAGAGAAAGAGTGACGAGCAACGACAAGCTATCAGCCAGGAGAAAGGGCGGAAAGCGCAAAGTATTGACCAAGCGAGCATCGCACAGGACCAGCAGCAGCGGCTAATGACTAATCACGAGCATATGGACTCGGAAGCCGAGAACACTCCTGCAAAGGTCGAGTCTACAAGGATCAACCGTGCCTGGTGCAAGGGAGAGAGCGTGACCGGCGCAACCAAGAAAGAGTGTCAGCGCTGGCGACCAGCGGACGAGCTGTGAGCGTTATCGGGCACCGCCGAAAGCGAGCATCTTGCCGACTCAACAATCACCTAGCAGTGGAGAAAAGAGCGTGACCAGCGCAACCGAGAAAGAGTGTCAGCGCTGGCGACCAGCGGACGAGCTGCGAGTGCTATCGGACACCGCCGAAGGCAATCATCGTGCCGACTCAGCAATCATCCAGCAGTGGAGAAGCCTGGAGCTGCCACCAAGAGAGAGAGAGAGCGAGAGAGCGCCGTGTGTATAGCATGCCCACACACACACACAACTCATCGCCCAGCAGGAATTATCGGCACAAGGAAAGCCCCACCTTGGCGCCCGCTTAACTCAAAGAGTTGAGTACGAAGACAATACACCCACACACACATAACACACATCGAGACTAAAACGATTGCTCCAAAATGTATCTTTGTGTTTCGAAAAGGACCATCCTAAGGTGGTTAGTTAACTATTAGCTGATCGTGGAAAACATTGTTCGGTCTATTGAGCTGCATGAATATGGTCGTTTAGAAGTATTGTAGTCATTCAGTTCGTTAATTGCATAGCTTTAGCAATTAATTAATTGACGCTAAACCTTTATAAGCATCGATGTTACGAATCTACACACTTACAGGAATACTATTGTGTTGAGATTTCTTTCGTTTGATCACGGAATCTTGCCCGCGAATCAATTCAAGCCCATTAGCCAATTCATAAGCATCTATTAGGCGAACAGGCACACTGCTGCACACTATTGTTCCAGGGCATTTCGTTAATTGCATAATCTTACCAATGAATTCATTGAAAACTACTTTTTCCTTGGGCACATGTTTCTTTACTACTGTTTGTATGTCACAGATTCTTTTAGGAATTTTTCCTATTGTCGTGTATGGTCGCTTTACTCTGAGGAATTAGCCGATTGTTCTGTTATCCAGTTAACAAACGTAACCATTGAGGGTTAATTTTACGGATCAATGAGTAGAACATCTCCAGGAGTACTGTGTTGACAATTCCTAGCATAAGAGTTCTCATATTACAGTGTTTTGTTTTTAGATATTTAAGTTTTTTCATGCAGAAGAGTCTGAGTGTCCCTTCCTAAGTTAATGCGTAATGATCTTAATTATAAGAACTATATCCTATGGTGAGATCTGAATTTTGAGACCTGACATAAAACACACTAAAACATAATCAGTAAACGTTAAAGCGAGAATAATTTTATTATCATGATTGGTTACACCCCTAGACAACAAATTAGCATAATTTTGGAAATTACACTTTTTTTTATTTGCATTAAATTTTATTATTTTTTCCAGACCTAATGTAAACAACAGAAGGCTGCAGCATAGCGAGATCTCCAATCATCTCCGTCTCGTTGGATTCATGGTTCCGTTCTGTGAAGAACTGTGTGGAAGCTGCTGTGCAACAGATTCTCCACAATAAAAAACATCACACACAGCCGTCTATGATGATGATGATGAAAATTAATTATTACCATTAAACTATAGTATTTTACATCACAAGGTTATACACAACCACAGTTAACCAATCTATATAAAAAACAGTCCATGTCCCTATACTTGCGGTAGTAGTTGCGTTCCTGAAGAACACCGCATTATGTAATGATCGCGTTATAATGAAGTCTATATAATGCAGGGTAACGCACAGTCCGCGATAACACGTGAGATGCATACGCAGGCTGAACAAAAACTGAGGCGTGTGGGTAGAATCTAAAAGCATCTAGCAGCATTACAATTCCTTGTGTGATGGTACGCCGAGGCAACCACACAACCGATTATTCCGAAATCCGCGCGTTATATCTAATTCGCATCCGCGTTAAAAAAATGTGTTCCCTAATACATTCATCGCGTTGTATCCAATTCGCGTTATGAAAACATGCAGTGTTATAGCAGAACTGACTGTATCTGGGTTGAAGCACACCAATAGATCACCAGTTATTACCTTACTGTGCTTCAAGGTAAAGTAGTTTGGTTGATTGATGACCTATCAATCATTCAATCACTTCAGTTACTCACTGGTGGACAGTCAGCTACTCATCAAACTTCTGTGGCTACTACACGGTTACTGTTCACATAAACCTCACTAATTGATACATCTGCCCATGTTTAGTACCCTGCCTATCAAACTGACTGTTTTCTCTCTACCAAACTGTGCAGGAAACGACAACTCTCTTCCTAACTCACCCACCCACTCTGCCATGACGTCGACTATTTACTTCCACGTTCATGCACGAGAGGGCTCAGGAAGATGGAGTGGACAAGTGTGTGTACGTGCCAGCCCAGATGCAGCTCAACTTGACCAGCGGACATGACAGCCTTGGAGAGATTAGGTACACCCTAGCAGCGATCCAACTGCTGGCCGAAATGCACCGAAAATGTGACAGCCTGGGGTTCAAGGGTGCCTGGACTGCCAAGCAGTAGGGGATACAAGTCACAGTGCTACCTCCCTAGTGCGACCGATACCTCTATGGGTGACCTTAGCAGAATCAACTGGTGGGCCCAGAATCTGGTGGGGCCACATCCTGCCACTAACGGGGCGGGGAGCAAGTACATCATAGTGGAAATAGCGTTTTATCACCCGTTGGCCAGTGGTTTGGTGGCCATCCTTGACAATCATGCCAAGACAGTGGGCAAGGCCTTCACCACCTACAATGTAAAGGGCGCCACGGTGGCAAGATGTTAACTACCTCGCCTGGAATGCAGGAGGTCGTGGGTTCGATCGCGGGACGGCTCCGTCATAGTCCGCAAGCACTTTGATGAGTGGGGCAGAACTTTAATGATGCCCGATATCTCCCTCGACTGGCTTTAAATCACAATACCTGTTATTGGCTGCTCACAGTTAACCCACCACCCCCACTGGTCTACACACCTGCTTTTCTTACAGTGACGACATCACATTTACCCACCTCTATTTAACACCGAAACAAGATGAGGGTTTATCCACAACTCTGGCTGTCGCCTGATGAGGCCGAGTTGTAATTACTGGCAAAACGTCACACGGGTACTGGATTGGAAACGTTGTAGTGGATTTACTCTCCAACGCACAAGCAGTTAGTGCTGAACTAGTAACGAATTGGCACGTTTTGTTTACGTACCAAACCTTACTGATTGGCTGTGTCGGGTGATCGTGGCAGATTTAACGACACATTTATATTTAACAAAACAAAAGAAAAAACCTCTGGATAACATTGGTCGGGAAAGCCGCTACTGCTACGTGTTGAATCACCTTTCACACAATATGCCCGCTGAGACTGGATGGCTGTTACTCCGACGGAAAATGCAAGTCACTTTAACGCTGTTGTTTTTGTACACGTTTTATCAGCTCGGTCCGTTTACTCAGCTCGCCAGAGCGACAACAAACATCTCGCCTGGTATACAGGAGGTCGTGGGTTCGATCCCGACCCTGATGCCTGCTGTATATTTGGAGTTTGCAGTGTCTCTCTCACCATGGTCGCTTGGAGTTTTATCAGGGTCCTTCGGGGTTTTCCCCTCCACATTTAGAAAAATGTGCTAAAGAATATTTGGCTGCTGCTATTACTTTTCCACATCGTGCTAAGCGACTTGGCCGAGCTATCCATTTGCGACGGCCAAGTCGCTTCTGAAAAAGAGCTATATAATTCAGTAAAATAAAGTTATTAAAGCGCGAATAAAAAAAAACTGCGTACACCAAAAAGCAGCTAAAACGCAGCACGGAACCCGGCCCACAACACCCAGAGACCTCTACACACAGCAGCAGTAGCCCCGTCCGGGGGGGCAGGGGGTCCCTCTTAAATTCCTCTAGATGTATTTATTATTTAATTAGCCACCCAGTGTTCCTCATGACCCTATTAGCTGTGTGCTGTATTCTATTTTTATGCATCTGCTATGTTGATCGGGCATGTTTCTCTCCCATTACTTACTGATAACTCCCCCACGACCACCACCGCTTAATAAACTATACCCCGTGCGTGTGTGGTGCAACACAGAACACAACTTACACACGTGGTGGCGATTTCTCACACAAATCTGCCACTCAAAGCGCCATTATCACATTTAATACTCAACGTTAAAAATGCGGACATTCTAAACAACGAGATACGAAAAATATCTTTATTTACATATATTGCCTACAGTTGTTTAAAATCACACGGTTTCTGCCACTAACCATCGTCGTCTCGTGTTCCAGCTTCACCCTGAACATATCCGGATGACCGACTTCACAGAGCCACTGCGCCTACCCCCATCAATCCCCGTCCCCCACCCTCCCCCGAGTAATTCCACCTCAACAGGTAAACGTTGGACCCAGAGTTGAGGGTGATCATGGCGCGTGCAAAAGAGACGCCCCCCCCCCCGAAACGTCTCCCACAAGCTCGCGTTAACCTCGAGTCGCTGCGCGATTGGACCAGCGGTGCTCCCACTCACCCACTTGTGTGCGCGCTCCTTCCGCACGGACACGATGTCGTGCTTCTCGTGCGCGTCCGTGCACTCCACGCACATCAACCGCGCGTCGGTCCTGCAGTAGAGGTCGAGGCCATGGCCATGCCGGTCGCACCTCCTGCCCACATTCGCCTCCTTGAACTTGTGCACGACGTTGGCTATGAAGACGTTCTTGTTGAGCCTCGGCTTCCGGTAGAAAACCTCGCGGCACTCGGGACAGGTGAAGCCGACCTCCGATTGCGCCGCGAAGTGACGCTCCACGCACGCCTTGCAGAACGTGTGGCCGCAGGGTAACCCCACGGGCAGGTTGAACAACTCGAGACAGATGGAGCACGACAGTTCCCTTTCTTCACTCGATGCAGCAGCCATCGCACACGAGAGCGAGAGATTGGGGGGGGGGTGTAAGCGCACAGCCACCAGCACTGCCAGGTCGGACTGAGGAAGACGAGGAAGTGCCTCTTCCTCTCTTGCCTCTGTGTCGAAAGAACGCCGAGGGTCCGCATTCATTTGAGATCAAGTTACACTGAATGCTGAATGGCTGTTACTGTTCGTGTACACTTGGCATTTAAATACAGATCTTGGTCATATCTCTTAAGGGCCGTCCATAAATTACGTCACGCACCTGGGGGGGGGGGTGTCACACATTTGTGACGATGTGTGACGAGGCGGGGGGGTTTGAGAAATGTGACGTCACGTAAAAATGCGCAACTTTTAATTAACATAGACAACACGTTCTACTTAATTAAATATACTTTTTTTTATAAATGTTTTCTCCTACAATATCAGAGTGCAGCGCCACATTAAGTACGCACTACAATGACAATAGTTTAAAGCGATTGGAAGCATATTTTATTTGGGGGGGGGGCAGAGCTTTGTGACGTCATATTTGAGGGGGGGGGGTCTGACTTTTTGTGACGCCATGTGACGAGGGGGGGGGTGGTCAAAAATCGTCCAAAATCTCGTGACGTCATTTATGGACCGCCCCTAATGCGACCTTTTTGCGTCAGTTTAAAAAACGAAGAAAAATCAGAATAGGTTGATAATAGGTTTTTCCACCTTTTATCTGGCAACAAAACAGGTGTTAAGATGTTAAAACACCAAACTGAATTCTTTTACACAGAATCATGTCTGCATTAACCACAATGCTTGTGGTCAGAATGCAAAAAAACATACTCTGATAATATATGCATTGTCCCTGAAACTGATTGGTCCACACCAGAGACAACTTTATTTTTGTTGCCAGAAACAAAGGGGAAAAACCAATTATTATATTTTGGTACTGGCAAAGGAGATTCCATGAAATAAGAATGGGTTGTTACCCTTTCTGGGCAATACAACAGGAGTTGTGTTAAGATGTTTAAACACCAAATAGATACCTTTTGCAAGGTATCATCAAGTCTGCATTCACCACACATACATGTAGAAAACATGCAAACAAACATGTTCTGATTCTAGATTTGAAGCTTTCGTGACTGCAAGGATCCATACTCTTTGTTTGTTTCGATAAAGTCATGTAGGTAAAAAAATAATATAAATGAAAACAACTAAATTTTATCACGACGTTTCGAGCGCAACACACACACACACTTAAGCGGTTGAGCTTTCGCTACGTTGTCCACACCTGAAGAAGGACACTTGTGTTGCGCCCGACACGTCGTGATTTAATTTAATTGTTTTCATTTATTTTATTGTATTTTTTACCTACGTGACTTTACCGAAAAAACATGTTCTGAAAATATAAGCATTGTCTGTGAAAGTGATTGGCCTACACCAAAGACAGCCTTCTGCATTGCCTTGTCTCACCACCAGTCTTAGACAAGAGAATGCCAAAAGGCATCACACATAGCTCGGGTCGAGCAGTTATATATTTGGGACCTTAAAGTGCAAGTGATGAAATAGTGAACTGTTCAAAAATGTATTATGAAAACGACACCATGAGTGCATTATTCACTCAAAACACGACCGTACTAGTATGCAGCTCCCACATCTGCTGTTACACGCAAACCACACTTTTTACCGGGTAAGGCCCACTGAGTTATGTAGATCTTTTTCAGACGAGACCTGGCCACAAATGATAGCTCAACGAAGTGGCTTATCGTTGTGTTGACATTTACAGCGGTAGCCAAATACTGTGTAAACGCATTAATCTAAACGCGGAGGGGAAAACCGGAAGACCCGCAGAAAAATCCACGCGACCACTGGGAGAGAGAAATGCAAACTCCAAATATACAGCAGACTTTAGGGTTGGCATCGAGCCCACGACTTCCTGTATACCAAGTGAGGTAGTTAACATCTCCTGGTCACCGTCCCACGACTAGAACACACGGACAATACTGCCTCATTAGCACCTAGTCTGGCTTGTGCATGGATTGTGCCAGGCTAGGTGCATATTGAGTGCCACGTGAAGTGTCGAAGGTTCAGTGGCAAGAAGGTCACTGGACAGACCCAGGTACATGGTTTGAAGGAGATGACTATACAGTCATACCTCGGTATACGACCGCTTTGGAATACGTCGAATTTGATATACGCCGTGTTTTGACGAGAAAAAAATGTCTTGGGATACGACGTCTTGCTTGGGATACGACGCGCTTGCTAGAACTTGTATGGGTCGGGATAGTCACCGCGTACCCGCGTATACCCGGTTCACTCCTCCCCTTCCTCAACAAGATGGCGACAGCGCCGCAGCTGGCTGCAGTCCCGGATCGCTCTCACAGTTCATCGACCGTAACCACACCTCGTACCTTACCCACGTCCTTCTTCACTCACCACCGCTCTTCATACTTTCATCTTCCATTACATTTTTCATATCATTTATTTTGTTTTATTATGTTCATTATTACTTTGGCGTCGCCCGAGTTTTGTGTGGCGGCAGATCCCTGCACCCAACCCCGCCCGCCTCCGTGTTCACTGCACACGCCCTCGGCGATACAACATGTGAACAATGCCGGCTGCTGCAGTGTCACACAACCCGGCTTAACTGCCGCATCGCACAGCTGAGGGGCAGTGCGGGTAAACGAGGCCTGCTGCTTCGACTCACGAGGCTGGAGGACGCTGGCTGCACTGTTCATGCAGCGCGGCTTAACAGCCGCCCTGGGTACGGTTCATGCTAGCAACGTCCTCACAAGGCACCTCTTCCGGCACTATCAGTGAGTGTGAGCTTGGCGTACCTCAGCACCACCAGCAAGTGGGAGCTCGACGTGCTCCATCAAATGTCCACCACCATCAGCGAGTGGGAACGTGAAGCAGACTGTCATCTCCTCAACACGAGAGAGTTGGCTTGCCTGCTGCCCAGCACCACCAGTGAACGGGAGCTCTGCGAGGTTTGTCCCCCCTGCTTGCTGACAGCGTAGAGCTTGGTCAACGCCACCTCGACTTTCTGCTCAGGGCAGCAGAGCCGCTGATTGGAGTCCACCCGAATCCGGGCCCCTTTATCAGCACCATCGGTGCAGCATGGGCTGATATAATAGGGCTACGACATGCACCATCTCTTTATCACCTGCACCTGGAACCCGCGCTGCTGAGGACGCTCTCTGTCCTCGAGCTTCTCCGAGGTCAACGTCGGAGACTGCATCGGCACCGTGGTTGCAGAGGTGGCAGGGACCGCCGTTCACAGGTCGACCTCGAACCAGCCATCTCTATTCCCTCGACGCCTCACCTCCACGGATCTTCTCACCTACCTTCACACATCTGCCTGGGCCTACTCAATTCACGCTCCATCACCAACAAATCAGCCCTGATTCACGACACCATCTCGGACCACCACATCGACCTTTTGCTGCACCAGGTCTCTCACTGAGACCTGGTGCAGGCAAGACTCCCCGCCAGCCATCTCTCTGGAAGTTGCGCCCTCAGGATATAAGGTTCTTCATAAACCTCGTGCAACTAACCAGCGGGGTGGTGACAATGACAATAAACGATCTATCTATCTAAACGATCTATCTATAACGCACACTTGAAAATTAAAAGCTCTATCTACCGATGGCTCCCGCCACCTTCGAGGTCCAGTCCGTATCCCTCACTAATAACAACGAGTGATTTCCATCATTTCCATCTATCGCCCTCCAGATGGCAGCATCAACACCTTCTTAAACGAGCTTTCAGAATTCCTATATCTGATTCCTAACCCATCTCACAGGCTCGTACTTACTGGTGACTTTAATTGCCCCGGCAATACCCTAGCCTCCATCGATAGTCACCTTGAGTCAACTTTGGCCTGCCATAACCTGGTCATCACAAACTCAGGCCCCACCAGAGCTTCCTCAACAAATGTTGAGAGCCAGATTCGACCTGGTTCTGGAACCTGACCAGCATCGACGCATCACTGCACTGGGAGTTTTCCAAACTGGTTACTCCGACCACCGCCTCATACTTTTTTCCCTCCAAATTCCCAAGCCAATCACCATCAAATTCACCCGCAACTCGCGTAATTTCAAGGGTATTGAGTTTTCTGCTTTACGCCACCTCCTCGCAAATTCGCCTTCAACGTTATCCCCATCATCGGATCCAACCGTCTGCGCTCTCCAACTAGAAGCTGACATTAGGGCGGCGCTGGACAAACTAGCTCCATTAAAATCACGAACCACTAGGCATTCTTCCCACGACACTCACTGGCTCTCAAGAGATGCGATCATTGCTAAGCGAACCAGGAGGCGCCTTGAAAGTATTGCAGCCCGCAGCGGTCTACCTGCTGATTGACTTGCTTACAGAGTCGCCTGCAGGAAAACTAACAAACTGATCCTAGTCTCACGTTCCTCCTACATTGAGGAACGCATCAAAAAAGCAACCGGAAAACCGTGCATTCTATGGAAAACCCTCAAAGATCTTCTACATCCTGGTAGCACCATGGTCCCTCACCTTAGCGATCCCCTTGCCTCACTGAAACTTGCCACCTCTTTTAATACTTACTTCACCAACAAGCTAATCACCGTCGCAAACTCGTGCACGTATACTCACACATCACACCATTGTACCCCGCTCAAGTTACCTGAAATTGTAAGCACTCACCCAGACACTCTCCTAATTACGCTAAAGCCGGTGTCTACAAAAGACGTTTTCTCATTAATTGAATCACTTCAATTGAAGTCATCTCCACTCGACGTGCTCCCAGGTTCCTTGTTCAAGCAATGTGCTCCGGAACTCGCCATCATGATCAGGAACATCGCAAATGCCTCATTCTCCATGGGGTGTTTTCCGTCCAACCTCAAACCTGGCCTGGTTGCTCCCTTGTTAAAGAAACCAAGTCTCGACCCAGATGACCCATCTAGTTATCGTCCCATCACCAACCTCTCGAACCTCTCTAAACTCCTTGAACAACTAGTCCTCGCCCAGCTAAAACCACACATCACCTCCTCCGCAAACTACTGCTGCTTCCAGTCAGCTTACCG